CCTCGTCCTCCCCACCCACGTAATCCCCGCCCTCGTCCTCCCCGCACTCGTCCTCCCCGCACTCGTCCTCCCCGCACTCGCCCTCGTCCTCCCCGCACTCGTCCTCCCCGCACTCGTCCTCCCCGCACTCGCCCTCGTCCTCCCCGCACTCGTCCTCCCCGCACTCGTCCTCCCCGCACTCGTCCTCCCTGCACTCGTCCTCCCTGCACTCGCCCTCGTCCTCCCCGCACTCGCCCTCGTCCTCCCCGCCCAAGTCCCCGTCATCTCCCTCATCCCCGTCCTGGCGGCTGCTCTTCTGTTGGCTCAGTCCATTGTGCCATGGCCGTGCTGGGCCTTGTCGCAACCCAAGCGTCAGGGCCTGATGGTAGTGCTAGCAAGGCACTGGCACATCATGCGCTATTTCACACCCTATCCATGCTTCTCACGTGGGGAGATGGATGACTAGGTCCCTGAGAATAATCGTGCTACGGTTAACATTGACCGCACGTCCGGGATACTGACAAGGTGGACTCAAAACATATTACTGACATCATACCTGTCGTACAAGGGTAAACGGGAGCATGAGCATTCCAATATGGGCCTGATCTGGAAGGATGAAACATACGTGTCCTGGAGACCAAGTATGTTGAACAATATGAAGAACTAATGCTCTTTTAACTGTCACATCTGTATCACGTTGAAGATATGCATCCCTTTGCAGTGGGTTCCACCCACCTGCCAAGTTGTCTGTCGCCAGGTTTGACGGCCAGTCGTACGCCTATGGACACGTGGCGTGGGCTATAGCTGACTATATAGGCTTGATTTAAGCTGTCCGGCGCCTCCCACTTGTGGGGGAGCTGCACGACATTGCTTAGGTAACGATTGTCCACTTAGTCTGGTTATGTATGACTGACGAGTGACGGATGTCATATTCAGGTTGTGTTCGCTTCGGCCTGCTCTTATGTCATGGACTAGAATGTGGGTTTCCACGTGGGCTAATCAGGACGCCGGCCGGGAGCTGAGTGCCGGCCGTAGTGGGCTGTCCTTGCTGCTGTAAAGTAATACGAGAGACTAAGCCAAACGACAACCTTCAAACCCGTAACCAGCCCCGGTTACTGCCCAGTAATAATGATCAACCCGGTAACCCAATTGTAACCACCCCCATTAACGACCCCCGGTAACCACCCACCCGGTAACCGGTCTCCGCATACCCGGTAACCAGGCAAGTCTATGTGGTAGGGACGACCAACAAAACCCCCCACCAGAACTAACCATTAGGGTCCGCCATGTGGCCATGCATGTGCCACCAGGATAATATTAACAAGTACGAAAGTGAGAGTAGGCCAAAAATAGGAACCCTTACCAGTTTAAATGTGGGGGACTAGTGGCACAACTCAACTGTTAGCACCAACTCAGATAATTCTCCATACTTACATTCTTCCTTCACTTCGACAATTGCTTGTGCTTTTCTGTAGCAACAGCTAGCATTGTGCGGACAGTTTGCAATGTAGGACCAATGCAAGAAAACAAACCGACTTAATAATGGGGAAAGCCACACAGCCCACTTCCTTGCCATATGCCAGCATAAAATAGCTCTTCGCCTAAGACTTTCCAAGACCTCTCCGTGGAGCAGGAGGGGGGAAGTGCGGGGAAGTGGGGCTGCAGCTCCACGTCCACGCACATACCCCCCAAGCACCACCTGGCCACGGATATGCAATCATGATAGGGATGAGCGGGAGTCGAGACGTTTAAACACACACACACACACACACACACACGCACACAAATACACAACATAAATCATGTGTGTGTCTTGTAACCATGCTGCTGATTATTCCTGACTGGCGGTTCCTTATCGGGTCTGGAGACGTTCTATAAGTCCCAGCCAGGCAGTGTCAGGCAGTGTCAGGCCAGCAGGTCCTAAAATATATCCGCGGGACTATTAGCGACAGTTTGACGAGACTGTGGAGAGCATGTGAGCAGAACCCAAAGAATAGTAAATGAAGACTGCTGGGTGGAAATGGAAACCCGCCCATGCCATGTGGTGTGCGGCCCCTGGTGGTGTAGTCTCCCACATCAAGAAGCGCGAGGAGGACGGCAGGACAAGCACGCTGTTGGGATTCAAACTTAGGAAATGGTCCACATACTTCCTAGCAGGGGAGAGAGGTATCCCCCAAACGCCCTTTACTGTGCAGCCGTCTCATATGTGTGTTTTTGTGCGGCTTCCAACTCGCCCACATGCGCCCACATGTGCCCGCCGAGCGCCATGCCATGGGCCCCTCTGTGCTGAGCTGGGTGCTTTTATGTCTAGGTTAAGGTGTGCTGCTTGCCTGATATGTCCTCCTGACAGGTGTATTCCGTCCAAACGCGTTTATAGCAGTTCGTCATTCACTCGATCTCACACGTGCAGTCGTGCCAAATATTTCTCCTGCCTCATGGCCAGGAGGTTCTCCCACACCGGCGCATTCACATCGCATCAGGGCTCTTTCTGCTCTTCTAACCTTGGACACATCAGCCCTCACCGGCTATACTAAGCCCATGTGCGTTATCCTGAAGTAAGGTTACCGTGATTTCATGTCCCACTTCCCAAAATCCTCGTTTATTACACACGTGGATGCGTGTGGGTTGCGATAAGTCTAGCGCTTGTGGTGAAGCCAGTTCTGGCATTGTAGGCAGACAGAATTCAGCAGTCTTGAATGGATCCTGTACGGTTGAGGTCCTGGGCATTCCCTCGCGCGTCAAATTAAAACCTGCGTGTGCGTGTTGCATTGTGCACCGTGCAATGCAGGAAGGAGAGGGTCCTTGCCTTGCCGAAACAACGCATATATAGCATACATAATATCTCTTAAATCCATAAAACATGTGGTATACCTTCAAGCGAACCATTTCATTGAGATTCAGGCTACTGCTTCAAAACACAGCATCACAGAAACTGCTTAATTCTACAAGCGTGTGTATCACATAATAACATATTATTATTGCATTTTATTAAGCACCCAACATTCAAAGCAATGCAAGACCGCCTCAAGGAAAGTTGGTCAAGCCTAGCAGTAGTACAAAACTATAGTCCAACGTTCATTCAGCTTTAGAAGTATTCAACTATAGTTTCTAAGACATGCACAATATAACAACTGTTGAGGTTGCTCAGCGTCTGTCTTCTCATGTATTGTCTGTTCAATGCCCATCCTCTCGGTAAGCTCTTGAGAACACAATCGCATCTACTTACACCACTAATTGTTGATCACAATCCGTTGTTGTGACAGATGGAGGCGAACAACTTCCAAAGCTCTCCTGGAATGAAGCTGTCTGTTTACCGTCCAATGTACATTGGACAAGGCACCAGCGAGAAAGCCCTTTGGATCGCCTTGCGTAACCCAGCACAGCGGCACGTGCAAGCAATCAAGCTGGAGCTCACCGACCCCGGGGTCATGTGCCTGCTCCTTCGTTGTGCTGCGGAATCGTAGTCGGCGAAAACTCTGTTTCCCTTCCAGGTGCGCATTGGAAGGCGAGCGATGTGTAGTTGGCGGCGAAAATTTTCTTAAAGCCAATAAAATAGCTAAAGTCATGAATGCCGTAAAAATATTACTTTCGATCTTCGCGCCATCCTGACAACTGGATCAAGACGATGGCCACCGTCAATGCAGCAGTTGTTGACCAGGCAGGCACATCGGATTATGTCGCGGAAACTCCTGCCGTTACTGTTCCCAGTCCCGAGACCGGCAGTAGCGACAGCGGAGGCAGCGGCCCCAACGCAATGAGCGAGCAGCCCCGCGGTGACAGCAGCGGCAGTAGTGGCGGCAGTAGCGGCGGCGTGGCGACAACTGCAGATAGAAGGGCGCCACACCGCAAGTACAAGTGGCTAGTCGAGGTCGGTCGCGTCCCTCGTCCTCGCCCTCGTCCTCGCACACGTTCCACCACTCGATCTCCATGCCCCCCAAAACCGCCATCTGTGCCATCATCATCATCATCATCATCATTATCGCCATCATCATCACCACCATCATCATCATCATCATCATCGCCATCATCATCTTTACTATTATTATCACCGCATGAATACTCACCACTCACCACTGACCAGTCTAGTGAGGGGTCCAGCCAGAGGGTGGGGATGCTGCACCCTTGCAGTTGGCTCCCCCCCTTCCCCCCCCTTACCCCCCCGGGTTGCGACCCCCCGGTGACCTGGAGGGCCACTGGCGGGCGCTAAGACGGGTGGTGGTGATGAGCCCAGGGGGTGCAGTGTATGTATGTCGGTCAGTGGAGCTCGGAAACCCACAACGTCCGCGCCAAGTCCGATCCCAGTGCCCCCTCTATTGGGGGCCCTTGGGGTCCCCGGCAGCTCCATGTCTGCCGCCTCCTCAGCTTCACCCGCGCAGCAGGACCACATAATACACCGACGCGATATACAGTTGTATACAGTAGTTCAAAACACAGGGAAAGAAGGGGAAGAGGGAATACAGCGTTGCCACCTCGCGCTCTTCTGGTTAGCGAACAGAGACATACATACATACATACATATATACATACATATATACATACATATATACATACATACATACATACGCGTACTCCCTCTCTTTCCTCCTGCCCGACCCCGTGGTGGCGGGTCTCTCCAGGTGGAGCCTGCCGTACAAGGTGACGGAGGCCGGCGGCCCTCACTCAGTCCGGTGTACCGCCACGTGTGGAGCCAGGACGGATTCCCGCGCGCACCCTTCGGCGCCGCCACCTCGTACGACTTGTGGCGGAACAGCGTACAGCGCCAGGGCCCGGCCCCGTGCCTCGCCTGGCGCATTGCCACACAAGACGGCAAGCCGGGCCCCTTCATCTCCATATCGTACGACGAGACCGAGCGGCAGGTACGGCAGCGTTCGACCATTTTTGATGTCCACGTGATGTCCCAAAAAGTGCACGTAGCTGTGGTGCCTGACTGTGCATGAGGAGGGATGTTGCAGGGGCCTATCCAGGTGTGTATGTATGTATGTACGTATGTATGTATATAGCTCAGTGAATGAGGGTGTATACCACCGCCGACATGCCTGTACGGGTGCACGACGGACTGGACGCTGGGTTTGCTAGCAGGGTAGGTAGGGTGTCCGCATTAACATGTCCGAATCATCATCCCGAATCCCTAGGGGCCGCCCCTGGCACCGCCGTGGGCCCGGGAACTTGATGCTGAGCCAGATAGCTTCAAGAAGGGCCTTGGACTCGATTATGTATTATTTCTTAAATAATGCTGGTTGCCTGTTTAGGTTCCGCGAACTCCACTCCAGAACTCCTAACAGCTGATGTGTCCAACATGTGGCCCCTCACCGGTAACGCACGGCTCCCCGGGTGGCCATCCATGTTACACACACACCAACACACATACATACATGCATACATGCATACACATACCACCGTCACTTGCACTTGCATGCGAGATAAGCACGTGCCGCGAGGTTCCCTTCCATTACCCCAACCCGGATATATACCCGGTGATACACCCGGACACCCGCACCCCCGCACCCAGGTGGAATTGCTCTCTGCGGGTCTGGCAGCTGCTGCCGGGCTGCGGGCGGGTGAGCGAGTCGCCGTCTACGCGGCCAACTGCCCGGAGTGGATGCTGGTACTGCAGGTAAGCAGGGGTCGGCAGTGTGTGTGTGTGTGTGTGCGTGCATGTGTGTGTGCAAGTGTGTGTGCAAGTGAATGCATGTAGATTACATGTATCTGACCGGGCCTGACATTGGCCACAGGGGCTGCTGCCCAGCCCCAACGGAAAGACCGCCTAAGCTCTCTCTCTCTCCCACGGACGGGAGAGGGGCGCTAGAATTGCCTCTGCCCCCCGCTCCTAAGCAGCGAAGAGCGGCTAGCTCCGCTCTCACAACCCCCGGGGTGGGGTTGGGGGAGGGCTGGCACGCGCGCACGCTATCACGAGTCAGCGGGGGCTCCGTCACGCAAAAAAGGACTCAGCAAGCTGCGGTACATCGGTTCGCATCCACAACCAGAAATTGAAAAGTGAGGTCAGTGGTCAGCAGAGTCTTTTTACTTGTGGTGGACTTAAGAGGTAGCTGTCTTTAAGAGGCAGCTGCTTGGTCGTTGTCGTTGCCATGACGAGGAATTAGCAGTGCGGTGAACGGCGGCTCTCCTCGCTCGGGGGTAGTGTAGTGCTTTGTGTGAGTGTGTGCGGCTTCCTAACAACTTTGTACGACAGGCAGGACATGCCAGACGTGTCCAATGGATTATGTGATACATCCCACCGCGTTGCCAATGGCGACCGACGAAACAAGAATGACTCTACTCCTTCCCCGGCCTGATCCGGCTCTTGGGGTGGGGGGGGGGTTCACAAAGACAGATGAAACCCTGTACAACCCCACCCCTCCCTACTAAGGCACGAGGCCCTATTAGAAAGTTCGGTATGTATGTATGCGCATGTATGTATGTGTGTATGTACGACGTTGATCATAATGTGGGCTTAACAGCCGGGGGGGCCCAGGGCCGAAACACAGCGAAGGGGGAGGGGCAGACGCACACGGCTGGTTGGTCTCTCGTGCATCCCGCCCACACCCGGGTCAGACCGCGCGAGGGGTACGGCGACCGGCACTAAGCAGCAGCGTTCCCCACACACCCGGGGGGTTAGCGCTACTGCTAAACTGGCCCTAGGTCCGCTGGTCACCTGACAAAAACGAAGTCGCACCCGGCAGTTTCCCCCCACCCCACTATTGGATGTCGGCACTTGGTTTTCCCTTCTTCTTTTCACGTACCTGGGCTTCCCCACCCCACACACACTTGTACACTCCTTCCTTGGCAGCTGCTTCATTCTTCGTGGTTCGTCTTTTCCCCCCAACACACACACACACATATTGCGCCTCCCTCACCCCCCCCATAATACTGCCCGAACCGGGTGGACCCCAAATCCCCCCGGGGGACCAACCTGCAGGCCTGCAACCGCATGAACTACGTCTGCGTGCCTGTGTACGACACGCTAGGTCGCGATGCCGTACAGTACGTCGTAAACCACTCCGGTCGCACGTGTGTTGTTCGTGTCGAGCGACAAGCTGCGGGCGGCGATGTCGGCGCTGGAACACATCACAGCGCCCTTGGCGGCTTTAGTGCACTGGGGCCCACGACCCATGGGTCACATGGAGCCATGTGGAGGTCCCACCGGCGCCGCCGCCGCCGCCGCTACTGCTGCTGCTGCTGCTGCTGCCTCCTCCAGCTGTAGCAGCAGTAGCAGCGGCACCATCGCTGCCATCGCCAGCAGTGCTTCACACGAAGCAAACTCTGTAGCCGTTACTGACGGGGAGGTGAAGGACGCGATGCGGCCGCGTGTGCGTTGTACGACATATACGGAGCTCTTGGAGCTTGGGATGCGGGCGGGTGCCGTACCGCCGCCTCAGCCTCCTCGCCCCCGCGACCTGACCACCATCATGTATACCAGCGGTACAACGGGGGAGCCGAAAGGTGCCTTGGGGTTGTGTGTGTGTGTGTGTGGGGGGGGGTGTTGCGTGGACGGTATTGGGGGATGGGCAAGAGAGGGAAGGGCGCAAGCGCGTACAGGCCACTACGTAAATCGTGTTTGAGTTATATGTATACATGTATGAAGTGCGGGAGCAGGGGGATCATATCTTCGCCCTGCGGCCGCTATCCGGCAGACCCTGTGCCTTCCCCGGAGTTACGGGGCACACTCATCCAGCCAACTGCTCAGGGAATCGCTCGTCAAGTTCCGCACCCAACCACCACGGGTATCCAACGGAATCTACCGAACTAACGGTGGTCCAACACTATTCCTGGTCAGCCGCAGGTCAACTGTATCCCAGGTCACCACCGTCCATAGGCAGGATTCTTCGATCCTGACGGGTCTCGATCCCGGAACCTCCCGGGGCATTAGTAGTAGGTGCTATACCAGTAGTGCCTGACCTGTATGTATGACTGCACGGTGTGTATGTTGCTCCGGCTTGCTGCGGCGCTAGGTGTCCAGCTCCCCCACTCGGCGGTGGTGGCGACAATAGCCTCCTTAGCAGCCGCCCTGGAGCACTACAACGAGCAGGTACGACCAGGCGACTCCATGTTGTCGTACCTGCCGCTGGCGCACATCTTTGACCGGTGAGAGGGTTGCAACTGGCGGTTGGGTTGGCAGCGGTTGACTTGGTGATTGGTTGGGTTGGTTGGGTCCATGAGGGTCAGTTAGGGTTAGGGTTGGTTGGGTCGGTTAGGGTTGGTTGGGCTCGAGGGCGCTGGACGGGGGCTGTGGCAAGATTGGCGGGGGTTTGTGTATTTCGAGTACGAACAGATTCAAATCTGGGGATCTGAGGAGGCGGGAAGAAGTGGAAAAAGTTGGGGTGTGAGCTGACTCGATAACCACGTGGGGGATTAGCTGGGATGCTGGGACTGTGGCATCCGTGGCGTTACAGTTGTAGTGGTAGTTGAGAGGTGGTTGAGAGGTGGTTTGGAGGTGGTTGCAGGGTTTCGGAGGAGACCTGTCTGGCTGCGGGCGGCTGTATCGGCTATTGGTCAGGCGACGTGACGCGGGTGGGCGAGGACGCGGTCGCGTTCAAGCCCACGGTTTTCATTGGGGTGCCCCGCGTGTACGACAAGTTTTTCGAAACGGTACGAAAATGGCCATCGGGGGAATGGTGGGAGGAGCGTGGTGGGACTAGAGGGGTATGGTGTATGTGCCCGTACCGGGTGTCGTACAGGCAAGTTTCTTTTTTCTACTTCACAACCAGCCGCAACGCAAAGGGGCAAATCACACGGGGAGCCTCGCGAACAGAACAGCCAGAAAGTGCCGTTACACAAAGGGGGATAAGGGTACGGCACGGTACGATACGCCCTGATGTGCCATGACGTGCCCTGTGTTCCGTAGAACCAGACGTAAATACGGGCGTACTGCAGGTCCAGGAGCGACTGGCTCAAGTGCACTGGCTACGACGCTCCATCTTCCAGGCCATGTACGACAGGAAGCTTGCCGTATTGCGCGGTGGCGCCAGGCCCGACGCAGCGACGCTGCGGCTGTCGCTGCCGCCGCCGTTGATGGCTGTGGGTCGCCTGTTGCGATTGAGAGGAGGCGGCGGCGGTGGGGGGGCCGGTGGGGGGGGCGGTAGGGGCTACAACCAGCAACTGGAGAATCAGGATCCGCCCGGTCAACGCGGGCCCCTGGGTGGGGAAGTGGCGGAAGGAGGGATTCAGACTGAGGTCGACGGCGGGAAGGGGGAGGCGGCGGCGGCAGTGGCGGCGGCGGAGCAGTTGATGGCGATAGGCGCAGATGGTGGCGACGATGCTTTGGGGGTGAACCACGGGTCATGTCCGGGTCCGGGTCTTGGCTTGGGTTTTCTGGACAGCATCGTATTTGGACGAGTTCGTCGGGGCCTCGGCGGTCGACTCAGGTGGGCTGCGTTTGCGTGACCGTCTGTCTGTCTGTCTGTCTGTCTGCCTGTCTGTCTCTGTCTGTGTATATGTATGTATACCTATGTATGTATGTAAGTTTGTGTAAGGCCTGGCCTTTCGAGTGTCCCTCTTTCGTACGCCTGCTGAAAACAGAGAGCTCGACAGCCCCCCTAGTTCCCCGTCAAATGCCGTACCACACCACCCACCCGGCGACAGCTCCCCCGGCCCCACGTCCTCCTCCACCCTTTCCAATCTATTACTCGTCAGTATTCGCTCTATAGTACTTGTCGCATCTTCCCCCTCACACTGATAGCCGTCCACCAATGCCAGATTCACAATCTCACAAACCCCTTCCCCCCCCCACACACACGCGCATACACACATACATACATATAGGGTTTGGCACCACTGGTAAGGCGCGACCATTGCCCCCGGGAGATCCCGGGATCGATACCCCTTAGGGTCAAAAGTCCTTCCGATGGTGGAAGGCATTGCGCCCCTAGTTGATGGACGGTGGTGACCTGGGATAAAGTTAACCTGCGAGCCGACCAGGAATGGAGTTGCGCCGCTGTCGACCCGGCAGATTCCGTTGGATGCTGGTGGTGGGTGCGGAACCTGAGCGATCCACTGAGAAGTTGACTAGGGTGACTGGATGAGGGTGCCCCGAAATACCGGGGAAGGCAGGGTTTCGCAGGGTAGCTGCCACGGGCGAAGATACACCCCCCTGTTTCACACATCATACATATGCACACACGTCGTAACGCATGCAGGTTGGTGGTCAGCGGCGGCGCCCCCCTGTCGTACCGTGTCGAGGAGTTTCTCCGCGTCACCCTAGGTTGCCCGGTGTCTCAAGGATACGGCCTGACGGAGACGTGTGCGGCGTCGTTCCTGCAAAACCCGTACGACTGCGCCCAGGCCGGTGCGGAGGGGGGGAAGGGGGGAGAGAGGGAGAATGCGGGGGGGGGGGGCAGTCGTGGAGTTGGTGCTGGTGGAGGTGGCCATGGGTGCCATGGTGCAGGGGGGGGGCGTAACGGCTGCATTTGGCGGATGTGTGCTGCTGTTGCTGCTCCGCCGACCCGACTTTTTCTTTTTGGGGGGGTTCGCCCGCGGCCCCTTGTCGCCTCCCTCGTGCGTTAAGAAGCTGCTGCTGCTGCGGCTAGAACACATCCATAAACACACGGACAGGCACGCCGTGCCGGGCGATAGCAAATACACACACGCGCAGCGACACGGGTTCTCACTCTACCGGTGTGTGTACGAATACACAAGCCCCCCCGCAACCCTCCCCCCCCCACACACACACACACGCAAACACACACGCACACAACCCTCCTCGGACGTCCAACCGCCCGTAGGCAGTGTGGGGCCCCCCCTGCTGTGTACGGAATTCCGGTTACGTTCCGTACCTGACATGGGTTACCTTGCGGAGGGCGGAGGGGAGATGAGCCAGATGCCGGCGGGGGAGCTGCTGCTGCGGGGCCCGCAGCTGTTTACAGGTATGTATGTATGTATGTATGTGTGTATGTATGTATGTATGTATGTATGTATGTATGTATGTATGTATGTATGTATGTATGTATGACGTTGATTACACTGTGGGCTGAAAAGCCGGGGGCCCAGGGCCGAAGCACAGCGCGGGGGGCGGGTGCATACGGCTGGTTAGTCTCATGCACTCCGCCCCCGGGTCAGGCCGCACGGGAAACGACGGCCGGCACGCAACAGCGCTTGTTTGGCGCTCCAACTAGACGGGATCTATGCCCGTTGGTCTCCTAACATAAACGAAGTCGCAACTGGGGGGCTCTTCCTGCCGACCGAACGAACCGAGCATCTCAGAGAGCTCGCTACCAGGACTTGGGCGACCGGGAGCCCGACGAGTCTTCCCGGGCTGGGGAGGTCACCAAGCTCAAAAATCCTCACGCAAAAAAGAGCGCAAAGAGCTCACACCACAAGACGCCAAACAGCCTCCTGAGACTACTACCCTCCTCCGCCTCTCCCTCCCTGGGCTAGTCCAGGGGAGATAGCCCCCGTCGAGGGGGTAACACCGCACAAGTCCGCGCCATTCCACAGCACTGGGTCTAAATTGAAAAGTACTCAAACGGGAAGACCCTGCGGCAACGCAGGGCGATCAAGCATCCGGAAACCACAGGGGGGGAGGGTAGCCAGCTCGGCGCCCCCCCCAATACCGTCTACCAAGACGGCTGGTTCCCAAGATCCTATCTCACCTAGGCGCCGCACCACGAAAAACCCGGTCTCGTACCCTGAAGAACCTAGTCCTGCACCACGCGCGCACCTTCGAGTACGGCCCCCCCTTCTGGGTGCCCACCTCCCCCTCATCCGCGCCCTCGCTACGGCCACCTGTTTCCACTCACCACTCCTCAACCCTACATCCTCTTGGTGTACTCTCTACCTCTTCCCCTCCCCCCCCGGCTCTCCCCGCCCTTTCCCCGGTCTCCCCCCCCTCCGCCGGTACGTATGTATGTATGTATGTATGTATGTATGTATGTATGTATGTATGTATGTATGTATGTAGGGCGGCGGGAATGTGTGTATGTATGTAGGGTGGGAAGGTGGGGGTTAGTATGGGGGTAAGGGGAAATTATAGTGTGCAAGGGTCAAAGAAACAACTGATATAGACCACCTGTCATTAGCCTGCTACCATTGGTTGGGGTTTGTTGGCTGGGGGTGGGGAGGATAGGGTTTTGGCTTGGGTGGCTAAAGAGGGGTTGTTACGAACATGTGATGGGGGTGTCTACATGCCGCCTCTACATCATCGCCGCTGCAGACAAGAGGTTAAGGAGAATTTATGCCGTACTTTAGTCTCCGTACATCTTCGTACACGTACGGGTAGGGAGGCGGGTGTGCTTGAGGAAGCCATCCGAACTTAGTCAGTCAACCGTTCCGGCTAATGTACGGCGGGGATGTGATCTTAGCTTTTAGGATAGGAGACTCTGCACTCGTTGCGGCTGCGGGGCGGTTGAAGAGGAAGTGCACGTCTTTGCTGTGTGTACGGCTTACACGGATTTATGTACGTGTTCACTTCGGCAGAGCTTCCCGTACAGGAGCTGGCATCAAGAATCCCTTGGAACAGGCACATATGGTTGCTGATGTCTGATTGAGAATGGTCAAAAGATGCAAACTGCATATCCTTGCGGAGAGTTCGCCGTACGCTGAGCACCTCCACTTCCTTTTTCCTTTTTTCTTTTCTTCTTTCTTTTTCTTCTTTTCTTTTCCGTCTTCTTTTTTTGTTTTTGTTTTTCTTTTATTTTTTCTCTTTCCTTCAGTGTCGATTTTCCATAGCATGTCCTTCTGTTCCTTCTGTCCTCGTCGCAACCTCTACGAGCCCCTGGCTCCCACCACCACCACCACCACCACCACCACCACCACCACCACCACCAAGTAGTGTGTATAACGTAACAATACATCAACTAAGCGCAAAGCGCGTGTCTACCAGCACGACCTGGATAACCCCCGTCTTCCCCCGCTCCCTACTCCACCGCATACCCCCGTGACTCACTTTGCTCTCCCCCCGGCCCCATACACACACGCGCACGCCACACGCCACACGCCACACGCTCACATGCACACACACACACACACACACACACACACACACACACACGCCACACGCTCACACGCACACGTCCCCCCTCAGGCTATTACGGCCGGCCCGACCTCACGCGCGAGGCTCTGGTGCCCTCGCCCGGGAATATCCCGCCGGAAGAGTACCAAGAACCTCCCCACCACCACCACCACCACCACCACGTCCACCATGCGCACGTTAGCATGCACCCTCACATGCACGACCACCACCACCACCACCACCACCACTACCACCACCAGCATGGCGATGGTGGAGATAGTATCGCCGTGGAAAAGGGCAGGAAGGAGGAGGAGGAGGAGGTCCATGACCCCCGCCGCGGCCGCTGGTTCTGTACGGGCGATATCGCGACGTTGAGACCGGACGGCAGTTTGGAGATCGTTGACCGAATCAAGAACATGTTCAAACTCAGTCAGGGTGCGACCCGGGGCGGGGATGTAGCTGCTGCTGCTGCTGCTGCTGCCGTCGTGGCAAGGGGGTTGGGCCGGGCAGGGGTGTGTGTGTGTGTGTGTGTGTGTCTCTGTGTTTGTGCTTGTGTGTCTGTGTGTGTGTGTTTTATTGTGTGTTGTGGGCCGTCGGCGGCTTGGTCCCCGCACAACCCTTGGAGGAAGGACGTACTACTCGGCCGTCCCGGCAAAACCCACTCCCCGCGCGCGCAGGGGAGTACATCAGTCCCGAGCACCTCGAGGCGGTGTACGGCGAGGCACCTGTCGTAGAGCAGATCTGGGTGTACGGCGATAGTCGTAAGCCCTTCCTGGTGGCGGTGGTGGTGCCGAAGCTTCGGGAGGTGCTGCCGTTGGCGGGAAAGATGGAAATTATTGCACCTGGCGCACCCGCTGCCGCCGCCGCCGCCGCCGCCGCGGCCAAGGCAGTGGCAGTGGCTGTGGCGGCGGCCCCCGCGGAGCCGGCCATGTACTCCTCACCACCGCCGTGCCAGCGCCAGCGCACGGACGACGCCGGTGGTGCTGGCGGCGACGCCCTAGGCCCTGCCGACGCCGGCGCCCTGGCGGCGGCGGCGTTGACGGGGCGGGTGGAGGGCGGCAACGGCGAGCACGTAGGCGGGACTGCTCATGCAACTGCTACTGCCACTGTGACTGGCGGTGGTGGCGGCGGCGGCGGCGGGGGAAACGGCCGTAGCGGCGGCGCCTCCGCCCCCGGCGCTGCAGCTTCTGATTTTGCGGTTCCCACAATCCTTGGGACGCTGTGCAGCTCTCCTCGTGTGGTTGCTGCCGTACTACAGCAGCTGCAGGTGCGGTCTGCAGAGCGGACGGCTCTGTAGGGGTGCCGCACCCCGCTCAGACCTCTCAAATCCTCCACGTCTGTTCCCCCCCCCGCTTTTGTTTTCTGCGACTTGTCCTCGACAATTCTCCATCCCCGTCTTGCGTATCGTGTATCATTGCCCGAGCGGCACCAGCCGCGCTCTTCCCTTATATCCTATCGTACCCCCGTCCTACGCATTGTCATACCGCCTTGAGATTGACAATCCCCCAATGTGCGTGAATGAGTGATCGGGTGGGGGGGAATGGCGACACAGGGAATGCGAACGGACTACTTGTGGTGGTGCCGCTCGCATCAACTACAGTCCGTACCTTTAGGTCATCATGTCTAGTGGCTCCCAAAATTCTAAAACCATAATAAAAGACCGCGCAATCCGTACCCTCGAATGGGGGAAGTTAAGATACTGAAAACAGAAAAACTAACGATTGCAGGAGATCGGGCGCGTTAATCACCTTCGCGGCTTCGAGATTGTACGGGCCGTGCACCTGGTTCCGGAGCCGTTCAGTCCGGATAATGGCCTGATGACGGCTACTTTAAAGCTGCGACGGCCGATGCTGCTGCGGCGCTACCGGCGGGAGGTGGACGAGATGTACGAACAACTGTAACGATCGTCGCTATGACAATGCTGTTTGATGACGATCATGTTTGCTGCGACACCATTCATGTCGTTTTGTACCACTACAACTACCATATTTGTGTAAATCACTATTCGCACAACTACTAGCACGAGTAATGAGGCATCTCCGTACGATGTGTCGTACAGTTGTCGTACGTGTTGTACATGGTGTTTCATTACACAAGCTTAACGGGCTGAATCTCACCCTCCCTCCTTCCTGGAGCAGGGAACATTGTAGTCAGCGGTGCGGTGCGGATGTTGTCAATTGCCAGTCGTTGCTGTAATTTGGTATCGGTCGTTGCCAATCGCCTCTTCGGGCCACAGGGCCCCGGCTGGATGTGTGCGCAGTTTTCAAACACATAGCCTCCCATCTCTCCCGTCCCCGCCCAACCAGTCCGATAGCCAGTCTCCGCCAACCAAGTCGTGTGCCAACCATGAAAGAGTGCGGGAGATATGACGCGCGGTCGAAGTTGTCTGGGCCCGGTTGGCAGGCTGGCTGGTGTGTGTCTGTGTGTGTGTGTCTGTGTATATGTGTGTGCCTTTGCGTGTAGTAGCAGAGGATAGGAAGGTTCCATGCCCGTCGTCGCCATTGCAGACAGCGGAGCGGCGTTGCTGGTGTACTCCTCCGGGGTTGAATCGCCCCTGTGGAGGGCCTCCAGGAGAAAAATGTTGTATTACATCGTTATCCCAAAGGTAGACATGTAGGTGACGGTGCGGCTCACAGGTGTGGAGGCGCAGTTGAACTGAAGAGAACTGATCCCGAGTTTCCTTCGCACAACTCCCGCCTTTTTTTACCTCGACGGTTATCGTTGTTGTTGTCGTTGGTTACAACAACCGTGGTCAGAAACGGGCTGGCCACTTACATTGTTTTAAAAAACATGTCGCTCATCCTCTTTTTCCTCCTCCTCCTCGTATTGCTTCACGTCGTGTCTTTTTTCTCCGAAACCATCATTGTAATCGTTGATTTCTTGTCTACTTGAAGCAACCTGTACATCGTGTGTCACGAAACAGCAGTTCATATAGGCGGACATAGCAGCAGCCCCACCGGCAGTTGTAGCCTCCTTCTCCTCCCCCTACCCCCCCTAACGGCAGAACCACCAGTGATGCCTCAGTTTCCTACTTCCCCCTTTGGCGGATGAGGGGGATTGAGGGGGCGCAGACGGAACACACCTCTGGAAATCCCCCCCCCCTTCTCTCTCTCTCTCATACTCGTACTGCTCCTCTGATGTCAAAAAGCCAAACAGCCAGCCGGTCACCGCCACGCAGCTGCATCACCACCGCAGAATTCCACAGCTACAGCTACAGCTACAGCACCTAGAATCTTCCCTGACAATACGACTGCCGATAACGGCACTAGTGCGCCCTTAAGGCCGCCTAGAGCTTGAACGCCGAGGACCGCTTCTGACTGCCGCCGCCGCCGCCGCCGCCGCCGTCCGCCGCCTTCCGCTTGAGCTCCCGCGCCACCTTGCCGCCGCCGCCGCCGCCCACCCCAGCTGACGCCGCCGCCTGCTCCGCCGCCAGCTTCGCGAACACGGCAGATGAGTTTCCCAGGTCTGTACGACCATGCCGCGCCGCCCCCGCCCCCTCCACCACCTTGACGCCCTTTCCCGACGTCACCTGCCGGGTTTGCACGCACGTGTTGGGGTGTGTATTAGGACACGTGTGTGTGTGTGTGTGCTACTGCGGTGTGTTGGTGGGAGGAGAAAGCATGTAGCACATCGTGGGATTCAACAAGCATAAAAGCGATTTCATAATATATTAATTAATGACACCGTGTTTTCCGTCATAATGGTGCTGAGCGGCTAAGCTGCAAAAGCAAAGCGGAAAGATGTGCGCGAGCCAATGCTGAGAGGGGGAGGGGAAAGGCCGCGGGAAAATGTAAATTGCAGAAGGGCTGAAAGTCTGAGAGGGGGAGGCCGAGGGAGGAAGGGAGGGAGGGAGAGAAAGGTCTGGGAGTCCGCTACGCGTGTGTGTGTGCGTGTGCGTGTTTGTGAAGTACAGTCTCACGGGCCGAAAGGAACAGCTTTGAGAGGTGCTTCCCCGCCACGCACCTTGGTGTCCGCCGACTTGCGTCCCACAACATGTGCCGTACCGCCCTCCGCCGTCCCCCTCGCCCTCCTCTCCGCCTCCTTGACGCTCTCCCTGGCCTTGTGCTGCCGCTTCTTCCGAGCCCGCCGCTGCTTCCGCTCCTCCCTGATAGAAAAACACATATTACATACATACGTACTTACGCAAGAAAGCCCTACCGCTGCTCGAGGATGAACGAAAATCTCCATTGAACGGACTAAAACACACAACCCGACACCGATACCTTCCCCCCAGCTGCATCCCTCTTTCGTTTCCCCTCCCCCTCCCCCTCCCCTAAACCCCTAAAGGGGCTCCCGCATTATAGACGAGGCGGCCTTGGAGATATGACTATAAGAAATATTAAAGTGTACATTTTTTATCCACTTTTGCAAAGGACCTATCTTCTCCCCCTCCCGC